AAATACATGCACAACAATCATTAAAAATATATTTAAAAAAAAAGATGCTTTGTGGTAGTAGTTGTCATCTTAGTGTTTACGAATGTCAACCAAAATAAATCTTACTGAGTAGTCCATTAATACTTCTCTGTGAGATAGATGAAAATTATAATAACGAAAATTGCTAATTTTTTAATGAAAAAAAATAAGCAAAAATTTAAATCCTGGATTGACAATTTGGTTGATTAAATTTCATATTTACCTAATTTCTCCAGTAAACCCATCACGGTTGAGGTGCTTTCCAATATATAAAGGACCATCATTAAATATGATAGATTGAAGCTGAATATTTTGGAGACTGTAAGATCCAACCCATTTACCATCTATATAGAAATTTATTCGCTTTTCGGAATCTGAAAGCGTGTACGCTATGTGGTACCACCGGTTAAGTAAGAATCCATAACCATCCATAGAAATTCCAGTGTCACTATTGCCAGTAATCGAGAGACCTAGGTACGGGGCTGAGTCACTTGGTTTTAAAGTGTACGGCTGGCTTCCGTTATACCTAAATATAAATTTGTTTTTTTATATAACTGAAGAACTTCTTTAAGATGTAATTAATAGTTATGTGTAAATACCTTTATAAAAAACTAAGTACCAACTAGAACCATGGCTTAAAACCTTTATTTTTAGTGTAATGGACAATTCATCTTTTACAACTGGTAATGCTGAATGGCTAATAACTTGATTATATTCAGATGTGAACATAACTGGATCAGTTATTAATTCACGATATGTTTGTTCTTGTTTCTGACAAGAAACTGAAATTGCATTACTGACAATTATTATCACTAAATAATAGAAATAAAAGCGATAGTAATTCATTATCATATTAATTCTCGAAGTAAGAACTTAGTTCTTAATAATTATTTTGTGATCGGTACTGTTTATGTACAGTAAATGTGCCGTACGTACGGTGCATGAAATCACGAAATCTCAATCACTTTATATGGAACTAAACAGCCAACTCATCTAAATTTATCATTTTCAATAAAGATTTATTTGTATACAATCGAAATCGTTCCAATCCATAATCAGACTCCGATGGAATTCTGTAAATTACGTACGTACGTATTTTTGGTAGAATCGTAACACTAAGATGACAACTACTACCACAAAGCATCTTTTTTTTTAAATATATTTTTAATGATTGTTGTGCATGTATTT